CCCAAAATTCACCCCAAAATCCCCGATGCTCACGGTGATCCAGGCTCCGTCAGGAACATCCTGTCCAGGCTCATCATGAAACGGGTCTGGGGCCCCAAAATCCCCTGAAATCACCCCAAAATTCCTGAAAAAGTCCTGACTCGCCCCCAGGTGTGTCAGTACCCCAAGGAGTGTGAAGGGTCCATCAAGTGCTGACCCCAGGTGAGCCCCAGGTGTGTCCCAGGTGACTCAGGTGACCCCCAAGTGTCTCAGGTGTGTCCCAGGTGTCTCAGATGTGTCCCAGGTGACTCAGGTGACCCCCAAGTGTCTCAGGTGTGTCCCAGGTGTCTCAGATGTGTCCCAGGTGACTCAGGTGACCCCCAAGTGTCTCAGGTGTGTCCCAGGTGTCTCAGGTGACCCCCAGGTGTCTCAGGTGTGTCCCAGGTGACATTGCTCACTCTCAGGTGACACTGCTGACCCCAGGTGTGTCCCAGGTGTCCCTGCTCACTCTCAGGTGTGTCTCAGGTGTGACCCCAGGTGTGTCTGTGCAGGTGTGGAAGTACCCCAAGGTGTGGGAGGGGTTCATCAAGTGCTGCCAGCGCCCCAAGCCGCAGGGGTGTCCCAGGTGACCCCCAGGTGACATTGCTCACTCTCAGGTGTCCCAGGTGTGTCCCAGGTGTCCCTGCTCACTCTCAGGTGTGTCTGTGCAGGTGTGGAAGTACCCCAAGGTGTGGGAGGGGTTCATCAAGTGCTGCCAGCGCACCAAGCCGCAGGGGTGTCCCAGGTGACCCCCAGGTGACATTGCTCACTCTCAGGTGTCCCAGGTGTGTCCCAGGTGTCCCTGCTCACTCTCAGGTGTGTCTGTGCAGGTGTGGAAGTACCCCAAGGTGTGGGAGGGGTTCATCAAGTGCTGCCAGCGCACCAAGCCGCAGGGGTGTCCCAGGTGACCCCCAGGTGTCCCAGGTGTGTCCCAGGTGTCCCTGCTCACTCTCAGGTGTGTCTGTGCAGGTGTGGAAGTACCCCAAGGTGTGGGAGGGGTTCATCAAGTGCTGCCAGCGCACCAAGCCGCAGTCCTTCCAGGTGGTTCTGCAGCTGCCCCCGCCCCAGCTCGCCGCCGTCTTCGAGAAGTGCCCGGAGCTGCGGGAGCCCCTGCTGAGCCACGTGCGCGCCCTCACCCCGCACCAGGTGACATTACCTGGGACAGGTGACACACCTGGGCATGGGGGACAGCCCTGGGCATGGGGGACAGCCCTGGCATGGGGGTGACAGTGCCCGGAGCCCCTGCTGAGCCACGTGCGCGCCCTCACCCCCCACCAGGTGACATTACCTGGGACAGGTGACACACCTGGGGACAGGTGACACGGCCTGGGCATGGGGAACAGCCCATGGGATGGGGGACAGCCCTGGGATGGGGGTGACAGTGCCCGGAGCCCCTGCTGAGCCACGTGCGCGCCCTCACCCCGCACCAGGTGACATTACCTGGGACGGGTGACACACCTGGGCATGGGGACAGCCCATGGGATGGGGGACAGCCCTGGGCATGGGGGTGACAGTGCCCAGAGCCCCTGCTGAGCCACGTGCGCGCCCTCACCCCGCACCAGGTGACATTACCTGGGACAGGTGACACACCTGGGGACAGGTGACATCGCCTGGGCATGGGGACAGCCCATGGGATGGGGGACAGCCCTGGGATGGGGGTGACAGTGCCCGGAGCCCCTGCTGAGCCACGTGCGCGCCCTCACCCCCCACCAGGTGACATTACCTGGGACAGGTGACACACCTGGGCATGGGGGACAGCCCTGGGCATGGGGGACAGCCCTGGCATGGGGGTGACAGTGCCCGGAGCCCCTGCTGAGCCACGTGCGCGCCCTCACCCCCCACCAGGTGACATTACCTGGGACGGGTGACACACCTGGGCATGGGGGACAGCCCTGGGATGGGGGACAGCCCTGGGATGGGGGACAGCCATGGGATGGGGGTGACAGTGCCCGGAGCCCCTGCTGAGCCACGTGCGCGCCCTCACCCCCCACCAGGTGAGGGACAGGTGACAGCACCTGGGCACAGGTGACCAGGTGACACCTCTGGGGACAGGTGACATCCCCTTGGGGACAGGTGACATCCCCCAGGGTACAGGGGATGTGCCCAGGGGAAAGGTGACAAGCTTTGGACAGGTGACACTCCTGGGGACAGGTGCCACCCCCAGGGATGTCGCACCCCCAGGGACAGGTGCCACTCCCGGGGACAGGTGACACTCGCAGTGATGTCACACCCCCAGGGACAGGTGACACTGCCAGGGACAGGTGACACTCTGGGGACAGGTGCCACCCCCAGGGATGTCACACCTGTCCCCTCCCCGTGTGTCCCCTCTCGGTGACAGCAAGCGCACATCCCCCTGTCCACCATGGCCATCCTGGAGGCCACCACGCGCCACGAGCCCGAGGGGACACCTGGAGAGGTGGGGACACCTGGGGGGGACATGGGGACACCTGGGGAGGTGGGGACACCTGGGGGGGACATGGGGACACCTGGAGGGGACATGGGGACACCTGGGGGGGACATGGGGACAGCGGGAGGGGACATGGGGACACCTGGGGAGGTGAGGACAGGGATAGGGGAAGGGGCATGGGAGGGGACAAAGGGGACACCTGGAGAGGTGGGGACACCTGGAGAGGTGGGGACACCTGGGGGGGACATGGGGACACCTGGGGAGGTGGGGACACCTGGGGGGGACATGGGGACACCTGGGGGGGACATGGGACACTTGGAGGGGACATGGGGACACCTGGACAGGTGGGCACAGAGGCACCAGGGGACACCTGGACAGGTGGGCACAGAGGGATGTGGGGACACCTGGAGAGGTGGGGACATGGTGACACCTGCCCAGGTGGGCACAGGTGGGAACAGAGGGACAGGAGGGGGACATGGGGATACCTGGACAGGTGGGGACAGGGACATGGGGGGCATATGGGGACACCTGGACAGGTGGGCACAGAGGGACAGGAGGGGAACATGGGGACACCTGCACAGGTGGGGACAGGTGGGCACAGAGGGACATGGGGACACCTGGAGAGGTGTGGACAGAGGGACATGAGGACACAGGGACATGGGGACACCTGGACAGGTGGGCACAGAGGTGTCCCCGGGTGGGCACAGGTGGGCACAGAGGTGTCCCCAGGTGGGCACAGAGGAACAGGAATGGGACATGAGGACACAGGGACATGGGGACACCTGGACAGGTGGGCACAGAGGTGTCCCCGGGTGGGCACAGGTGGGCACAAAGGAACAGGACTGGGACATGGGGACACAGGGACATGGGGACACCTGGACAGGTGGGCACAGAGGTGTCCCCGGGTGGGCACAGGTGGGCACAAAGGAACAGGACTGGGACATGGGGACACAGGGACATGGGGACACCTGGACAGGTGGGCACAGAGGTGTCCCCGGGTGGGCACAGGTGGGCACAGAGGTGTCCCCAGGTGGGCACAGGTGGGCACAAAGGAACAGGAATGGGACATGAGGACACAGGGACATGGGGACACCCGGACAGGTGGGCACAGAGGTGTCCCCGGGTGGGCACAGGTGGGCACAGAGGAACAGGAATGGGACATGGGGACACAGGGACATGGGGACACCTGGACAGGTGGGCACAGAGGTGTCCCCGGGTGGGCACAGGTGGGCACAAAGGAACAGGACTGGGACATGGGGACACAGGGACATGGGGACACCTGGACAGGTGGGCACAGAGGTGTCCCCGGGTGGGCACAGGTGGGCACAAAGGAACAGGACTGGGACATGGGGACACAGGGACATGGGGACACCTGGACAGGTGGGCACAGAGGTGTCCCCGGGTGGGCACAGGTGGGCACAAAGGAACAGGAATGGGACATGGGGACACCTGCCCAGGTGGGCACAGGGGTGTCCCCGGGTGCCACCACGCCCTCGCCGCCCCCAGGAGAAGCCCCCCAAGCGCCCCCCGGGCTCCGAGGAGGACCCCAAGGCCAAGGGGGGGGGTCCCGGCTCCCCTCCCCCCCCCGAGGGAGCCCCCCCGGAGCTGCTGGAGCCCCCCCCGATCTTCATCAGCGCCGCCGAGGATGAGGAGAGCTCGGGGGGGGGAGGGGACGCGTCCCCCCCGGACCCCGCCCTGGACACGCCCAAGGTGGGGGAGGGGGGGCAGTTTGGGGAGGGGGAGGGGCTCCGAACCCCATTTTGGGGAGGGGCAATCCTGGGGAGGGGGAGGGGCGATTTGGGGAGGGGCATTTCTGACCCTCATTTTGGGGAGGGGGAGGGGCATTTTGGGGACGGGGGGGCGGGGCATTTCCGATCCCCCCTTTTGGGGAGGGGGAGGGGCAATTTCGGACCCCCGTTTTGGGGAGGGGGAAGGGCATTTTCAACCTTAATTTGGGGAGGGGGAGGGGCATTTTCTGACCCCCCAATTTGGGGAGGGGGAGGGGCATTTCTGACCCCCGAATTGGGGAGGGGCAGTTTCTGACCTTAATTTTGGGGAGGGGGAGGGCCAATTTCTAACCTCCCATTTTGGGGAGGGGGAGGGGAATTTCTGACCCTCATTTTGGGGAGGGGGAGGGGAATTTCTGACCTTCATTTGGGGAGGGGGCGGTTCATTCCTAACCCCTCCCTCCTCTCTTTTCTCTCCCCCCCCCCCCCCCCCTTTCCCAGGACCCCCCCGCGGGCACGGAGCCCCCCCAGCCCCTCCCCCCTCCCGGCGAGGCCCCGCCCCCCAGCCCCCCCTCGTCGGAGCCGCCCCCCCCCGGCACCCAGAGCCCCCCCCCGGGCGGGGTCCCCGAGGGTCCCTCCGAGGGCTGAGGGGGGGGTGGGGCCACCCCCGAGACCCCCACCCCGAAATGTGGGGGAGGGGCTCAATAAAGGTGTGGGCGGAGCTTCGGGGTCCTGAGTGGTTTTTGGGGGGTCCTGGATGATTTTGGAGGGGGGCTGGATGGTGTTCGGGGGGCTCCTGGGTGGGTTTGGGTGGTTTTGGGGGTCCTGGCTGGGTTTGGGGTGTCCTAGGTGGTTTTGGGGGGATCCTGGCTGGTTTTTGGGGGGTCTGGGATGGATTTTGGGGGGTCCTGGGTGGTTTTTGGGGACAGTGCCAAAAGGAAAAGGGGCGTGGCTTCATGGTGGGTGTGGCCAGGTGGGGTTTTGCCCCAAAGGGGGTGAGTTTTGGGGATGCAAATTAGGGGGTGGAGTTGTTTTTGGATGGGCGCGGCTTGGGCGGGGTTTCCCCAATTTTGGCATGGGCTTAGTGTTAACTGGGGGCGTGGTTTCATTTTGGGGGCGTGGTCTCTATGGTTTGGGGCGTGGCTTCTTCCACTAATTGGTGGGGTCTCGTTTGGAGGGGTGTGGTCTCGTTTTGAGGGTGTGGCCTTCATGTTTGGGGGTGGGATCTATGTCAATCAGGGGCGTGGTTTCAGTTTGGGGGCGTGGTTCCTATTTTGGGGGCGTGGCTTCTGCCACTCAGAGATGTGGCTTCATTTGGGGGCGTGGTTGCCATGTTTTGGGGGTGTGGTTTCCATAATAGGTGTGGCTTCATTTTGGGGGCGTGGTCTCCTTGTTTTGGGGCGTGGTTTTCGCCACTCATGGGCGTGGTCTCAACTAGAGGCGTGGCTTCCATATTTTGTGGCGTGGCCACCACTCAGGGGCGTGCCCATCCTTTATATCGACCCTCCCTCCCCTCTAAATGGGCGTGTCCCTTCCCTCCTCACGCCTTGATTGGTCAGTCACACCTCCATGGGCGTGGCCCACCCTCTCCAGTGGGCGTGGCCTCGCTGACTCAGCGCCGCCATGGCGGCCATGGCCGCTCCCGCCCGCTCCTGAGGCGGCTTCCGGCGGCCATGGCGGCGGCGGCGGCGGCGGCGGCGGGCCCGGGCCCGGCCGAGCCTCCCGCGGCCGCTCCGGAGCTCAAGAGCCGCTTCCGCACCCGCGAGGGCTCCTACCGCCTGCTGGGCCCCGCCGCCGCCGCCGCCTCCTCCGCCTCAGCCCCGGCCGGGCCTGCCCCGCCGGGCCCCGGGGCGCTGCCGCCGGTTCGGCTCTCGGTGGTGAGGCTGGCCCGGAGCCGGAGCCCGCCCGGGGGAGCCGCAGAGCGGAGCCGAGTGTGCTGTAATCTCGGCAGGGAGCTGCATTTCTACGGAGGGACGGGCAGCGGGGGACGCGGCAGCCGGAGGGTAACGGGGGAGAACGGGGGAGAGAACCGGGGGGAGCACCGGGGGCATAACGGGGAGAGAAGCGGGGGGAGAAAACGAGGGAGAACGGGGGGAGAAGCTGGAGAGAACTGGGGGAATAACGGGAGAGTAACGGGAGAGAACCGGGGGAATAACGGGGGGATTGAGGGGCAAAGGTGACCCCAGGCTGGTGACAGTGACCCCAGGGTTGGTGACAGTGACCCCAAGACAGTGACAGTGACCCCAGGGTTGGTGACAGTGACCCCAGTTTGGTGACAGTGACCCCAGGACAGTGACAGTGACCCCAGGGTTGGTGACAGTGACCCCAGTTTGGTGACAGTGACCCCAGGGTTGGTGACAGTGACCTCAGGGTTGGTGACAGTGACTCCAAGGTTGGTGACAGTGACCCCAAGGTTGGTGACAGTGACCCCAGTTTGGTGACAGTGACTCCAAGGTTGGTGACAGTGACCCCAGAGTTGGTGACGGTGACCCCAGGACGGTGACAGTGACCCCAGGGACATCCCCTGGCAGTGCTGGTGCCCGTGCCAGTGCCACCCTGACAGTGCCAATGACCAGGACAGTGACAGTGCCACCCTGCCAGTGCCAGTGTCACTTCAGGGGTGCCAGTGCCGCTTCCCGGGTGCCAGTGCCAATGACCATGCCAGTGACAGTGCCACCCTGTCGGTGCCAGTGCCACCCCACGGGTGCCAATGACCAGGACAGTGACAGTGCCACCCTGTCGGTGCCAGTGCCACCCCATGGGTGCCAATGACCAGGACAGTGACAGTGCCACCCTGTCGGTGCCAGTGCCACCCCACGGGTGCCAATGACCAGGACAGTGACAGTGCCACCCTGACAGTGACAATGACCAGGACAGTGCCAGTGCCACCCTGCCGGTGCCAGTGTCACTTCAGGGGTGCCAGTGCCACCCCTCTGGTGCCAGTGACAGTGCCAATGACCGGGACAGCACCACTGTCACCCTGCCGGTGCCAGTGCCACCTCAGGGGTGCCAGTGCCACTTCCCGGGTGCCAGTGACAGTGCCAATGACCAGGGCAGTGACAGTGCCACCCCACCAGTGCCAGTGCCACTGTGCCAGTGCCACTGCACAGGTGCCAGTGCTACCATGCCAGTGCCAGTGCCAATGACCAGGGCAGTGACAGTGCCACCCCACCAGTGACAGTGACAGTGCCAGTGACCAGGACAGTGCCAGTGCCACCCTGCCGGAGCCAATGCCACCCCTCCGGTGCCAGTGCCACCCCGCCAGTGCCAGTGCCACTCTGCCGGTGCCAATGACCAGGACAGTGCCAGTGCCATCCCTCTGGTGCCAGTGCCACCCTGCCAGTGCCACTGCCACCCTGCCAGTGCCAGTGTCACCCTGCCAGTGCCAGTGCCACCCCTCCGGTGACAGTGACAGTGCCAATGACCAGGACAGTGCCAGTGCCACCCCTCCGGTGCCAGTGCCACCCTGCCAGTGCCAGTGCCACCCCTCCGGTGCCAGTGCCACCCCTCCGGTGACAGTGACAGTGCCAGTGACCAGGACAGTGCCAGTGCCACCCCTCCGGTGCCAGTGCCACCCCTCCGGTGACAGTGACAGTGCCAATGACCAGGACAGTGCCAGTGCCACCCCTCCGGTGCCAGTGCCACCCTGCCAGTGCCAGTGCCACCCCTCCGGTGCCAGTGCCACCCCTCCAGTGACAGTGCCAATGACCAGGACAGTGCCAATGACCAGGACAGTGCCAGTGCCACCCCTCCGGTGCCAGTGCCACCCCTCCGGTGACAGTGACAGTGCCAATGACCAGGACAGTGCCAGTGCCACCCCTCCGGTGCCAGTGCCACCCCTCCGGTGACAGTGACAGTGCCAATGACCAGGACAGTGCCAGTGCCACCCCTCCGGTGCCAGTGCCACCCCTCCGGTGACAGTGACAGTGCCACCCTGCCAGTGCCAGTGCCACCCCTCCGGTGCCAGTGCCACCCCTCCGGTGACAGTGACAGTGCCAATGACCAGGACAGTGCCAGTGCCACCCCTCCGGTGCCAGTGCCACCCCTCCGGTGACAGTGACAGTGCCAATGACCAGGACAGTGCCAGTGCCACCCCTCCGGTGCCAGTGCCACCCTGCCAGTGCCAGTGCCACCCCTCCGGTGCCAGTGCCACCCCTCCAGTGACAGTGCCAATGACCAGGACAGTGACAATGCCACCCCTCCGGTGCCAGTGCCACCCCTCCGGTGACAGTGACAGTGCCAATGACCAGGACAGTGACAATGCCACCCCTCCAGTGCCAGTGACAGTGCCAATGACCAGGACAGTGCCAGTGCCACCCCTCCGGTGCCAGTGCCACCCTGCCAGTGCCAGTGCCACCCCTCCGGTGCCAGTGCCACCCCTCCAGTGACAGTGCCAATGACCAGGACAGTGACAATGCCACCCCTCCAGTGCCAGTGACAGTGCCAATGACCAGGACAGTGCCAGTGCCACCCCTCCGGTGCCAGTGTCCCCGTGTCCCCGCAGGCGCTGGACCTGCAGCGTCCCATCGACAAGCGCGTGTACAAGGGCACGCAGCCCACGTGCCACGACTTCAACCAGTTCACGGCGGGCACCGAGACCCTGGCGCTGCTCGTCGGCTTCTCGGCCGGGCAGGTGCAGTACCTGGACCTGGCCAAGAAGGACAGCGCCGGGCGGCTCTTCAACGAGGAGGTCGGCGCACACCGGGGACACCTCGGGGACGCTGGGGACACCGGGGACACCTCGGGGACACCGGGAAACCTTGGGAGCTCTGTGGGACCGGCAGGGCCGCCATGGGGCCACCGGGGCCACCAGCAACCCATTAGGAACCCCATGGGACCACCAGGAACCCCGTGGGAGCACTGTGGGACCAGCAGGGCCGCCATGGGGCCACCAGGAACCCCATGGGACCACCAGGACGTCCCCAGGGCCACCAGGAACCCCATGGGACCACCGGGAACCCTTTGGGATCACCCATGGGACCAGCAGGGCCACCAGGAACCCATTAGGAACCCCATGGGACCACCAGAACCTCCCCAGGGCCACCAGGAACCCCATGGGACCACCAGAACCTCCCCAGGGCCACCAGGAACCCCATGGGACCACCAGAACCTCACCAGGGCCACCAGGAATTCCATGGGACCACCAGAACCTCACCAGGGCCACCAGGAACCCCTTGGGATTACCCGTGGGACCAGCAAGAACCCCTTGAGATCCTTCATGGGACCACCAGGACCTCCCCAGGGCCACCAGGAACCCCTTGGTTTCCACCATAGGACCACCAGGGCCATCAGGAATGCCTTGGGATCACCCATGGGACCACCAGGAACTCCTTGGGAGCACTGTGGGACCAGCAGGGCCACCATAGGACCACCAGGAACCCCATGGGATCCTCCATAGGGCCACCAGGAACCCCTCAGGATCCCCCATGGGACCACCAGGAACCCCTTGGGATCCCCCATGGGACCACCAGGAACCCCTAGGGATCCCCCATGGGACCACCAGGACTTCCCTGGGGTCACCATGAATCCTTCAGGATCACCCATAGGACCACCAGAAACCCCTTGAGATACCCCATGGGACCACCAGGAACTCCATGGGACCACCATGAAGCCCTCATGATCCCCCATGGGACCACCAGGAACCCCTTGGTATCACCCATGAGACCAGTAGGGCCACCATAGGGCCACCAGGAACCCCTTGAGATCCTCCATGGGACCACCAGGACCTCCCCAGGGCCACCAGGAACCCCCTTGGGACCACCAGGAACCCCTTGGGATCACTCATGGGACGAAGAGGGCTACCATAGGGCCACTAGAATCCCCCCAGGGCCACCAGGAACCCCTCGAGATCCCCCATGGGACCACCAGGAACCCCTTGAGATCCCCCATGGGACCACCAGGAACCCCTTTAGATCCACCATGGGACCCCCAGAACCTCCCCAGACCCACCACAACCCCCTCAAGACCCCCCAATGGGACCACCAGAACCTCCCCGGGGCCACCAGGAACCCTTTGGGACCACCAAGAACCCCTTGAGATCACCCATGGGACCACCAGGAACCCCTTGAGATCCTGCATGGGACCACCAGGAACCCCGTGGCTTCCTCCATAGGACCACCAGGGCCACCAGGAACCCCTTGAGATCCCCTGATGGGACCCCCAGAACCTCCCCAGACCCACCACAACCCCTTCAAGACCCCCCAATGGGACCACCAGAACATCCCCAGGACCACCAGGAGTGCCTTGGGATCACCAGGAACCCCTTGAGATCACCCATGGGACCACCAGGACCTCCTCAGGGCCACCAGGAACCCCTCAAGATCCCCTCTAGGACCATCAGGAACCCCTTTAGATCCCCCATGGGACCACCAGGAACCCCTCGAGATCCCCCATGGGACCACCAGGAACCCCATGGCTTCCTCCCTAGGACCACCAGGGCCACCAGGAACCCCTTGAGATCCACCATGGAACCCCCAGAACCTCCCCAGACGCACCACAACCCCCTCAAGACCCCCCAATGGGACCACCAGAACCTCCCCGGGGCCACCAGGAACCCTTTGGGACCACCAAGAACCCCTTGAGATCACCCATGGGACCACCAGGAACCCCTTGAGATCCCCCATGGGACCACCAGGAACCCCGTGGCTTCCTCCATAGGACCACCAGGGCCACCAGGAACCCCTTGAGATCCCCCCATGGGACCCCCAGAACCTCCCCAGACCCACCACAACCCCTTCAAGACCCCCCAATGGGACCACCAGAACATCCCCAGGACCACCAGGAGCGCCTTGGGATCACCAGGAACCCCTTGAGATCACCCATGGGACCACCAGGAACCCCTTGAGATCACCCATGGGACCACCAGGACCTCCTCAGGGCCACCAGGAACCCCTCAAGATCCCCTCTAGGACCATCAGGAACCCCTTTAGATCCCCCATGGGACCACCAGGAACCCCTTGAGATCACCCATGGGACCACCAGGATCCCTCCAGAGCCACCATAAACCCCCTGGGACCACCAGGAACCCCTTGAGCTCCCCCATGGGACCCCCCAGAACCTCCCCAGACCCACCACAACCCCTTCAAGACCCCCCCATGGGACCCCCCAGAACCTCCCCAGACCCACCACAACCCCCTCCAGACCCTCCACCGACCCTCATTTTCCTTTTTAACCCCTCCAGCGCCTGATCGACAAGTCCAAGGTGACGCTGGTCCGGTGGCTGCCGGACACGGAGCGCCTGTTCCTGGCGTCGCACGCCAGCGGCCACCTGTACCTGTACGACTCGGAACAACCCTGCGGGGCCACCAGCCCGCAGTACACGCTGGTGACGCAGGGAGAAGGCTTCAGGGTCTTCTCCTGCAAGAGCAAGACGCCCAGGAACCCGCTGCTGAAGTGGGCCGTGGGCTCGGGGCCGCTCAACGAGTTCGCCTTCTCGCCGGACGGGCGCTCGCTGGCCTGCGTCAGCCAGGACGGCGTGCTCAGGGTGTTCCACTTCTCCTCCATGCTGCTCCAGGGCATGATGAGGAGCTACTTCGGGGGGCTGCTCTGCGTCTGCTGGAGCCCCGACGGCCGCTACGTGGTCACCGGTGGGGAAGACGACCTGGTCACCGTGTGGTCGTTCGCCGAGGGCCGGGTGGTGGCCCGAGGGCACGGCCACAAGTCGTGGGTGAACGCGGTGGCGTTCGATCCCTTCACGCCGCCCGACGGGCAGGGGGACAGGCACGGGGACGGCCCCGAGGACCCGCCGAGCGTCACCTACCGCTTCGGCTCGGCCGGCCAGGACACGCAGTTCTGCCTGTGGGACCTCACCGAGGACGTGCTGGAGCCGCGGCCGCCGCCTCCCCGCTCCCGCCCCGCCGCCGTTACCGGGGAGGAGCCGCCGGGACCGCCCCCGCCTTCCGTGCCGGGGCTGCCGCGCTCCCTCTCCCGCTCCAACAGCCTCCCGCAGCCCGGCGGGGGCCCCCAGATGTCGCCCCGCGTCCCCCCGGTGCTGAGCGTGGGGCGTTTCGCCACGCTGACCCTGCGCGACCCCCGAGGGGCGGCCGAGAAGGAGCACAAACGTTACCACAGCCTGGGCAACATCAGCCGGGGAGGAGGGGGCGGCAATAACGCCGAGAAGCCCCCTCCCCAAAGCGGGCCGGGGTCGCGGGGAGGGGCCCTGGACTCGGCCAAGGTGCTGGGCACGGCGCTGTGCCCGCGGCTGCACGAGGTGCCGCTGCTGGAGCCGCTGGTGTGCAAGAAGATCGCCCAGGAGAGGCTGACGGTGCTGCTCTTCCTGGAGGATTGCATCGTGACGGCGTGCCAGGAGGGGCTCATCTGCACCTGGGCGCGGCCCGGGGTCTCTGTGAGTCTGGGGAGGGGTCCCCGAGGGGATTTGGGGGGATTTTGGGGGGTTTAGGGGAGGTTTAGAATGGATTTGGGGTGTTTGAGGGGGGATTTGGGGTGCCAGGATATCCAGGTGTGTATGGTGACAGCTGCCAGGAGGGGCTCGCCTGCACCTGGGCAAGGCCGGGGGTCTCTGTGAGTCTGGGGAGGGATCCCCGAGGGGATTTGGGGGGATTTTGGGGGGTTTAGAGGGGATTTGGGGTGTTTGAGGGGGGTTTTAGGGTGTCTGGGATGGGATTTGGGGTGCCAGGAGCTGCAGGTGTGCATGGTGACAGCTGCCAGGAGGGGCTCGCCTGCACCTGGGCACGGCCGGGGGTCTCTGTGAGTGCGGGCAGGGGGCTCCGAGGGGATTTGGGGGGATTTTGGGGGGTCTCAGATGGGATTTGGGGGGGTTTAGGGGACATTTGGGGTGCCAGGATATCCAGGTGTGTATGGTGACAGCTGCCAGGAGGGGCTCGCCTGCACCTGGGCAAGGCCGGGGGTCTCTGTGAGTGCGGGCAGGGGGCTCCGAGGGGATTTGGGGGGATTTTGGGGGGTTTAGAGGGGATTTGGGGTGTTTGAGGGGGGTTTTAGGGTGTCTGGGATGGGATTTGGGGTGCCAGGAGCTGCAGGTGTGCATGGTGACAGCTGCCAGGAGGGGCTCATCTGCACCTGGGCAAGGCCGGGGGTCTCTGTGAGTGCGGGCAGGGGGCTCCGAGGGGATTTGGGGGGATTTTGGGGGGTCTCAGATGGGATTTGGGGGGGTTTAGGGGACATTTGGGGTGCCAGGAGCTGCAGGTGTGCATGGTGACAGCTGCCAGGAGGGGCTCGCCTGCACCTGGGCAAGGCCGGGGGTCTCTGTGAGTGCGGGCAGGGGGCTCCGAGGGGATTTGGGGGAGTTTTGGGGGGTTTAGGGGAGGTTTAGAATGGATTTGGGGTGTTTGAGGGGGGATTTGGGGTGCCAGGAGCTGCAGGTGTGTATGGTGACAGCTGCCAGGAGGGGCTCGCCTGCACCTGGGCAAGGCCGGGGGTCTCTGTGAGTGCGGGCAGGGGGCTCCGAGGGGATTTGGGGGGATTTTGGGGGGTCTCAGATGGGATTTGGGGGGGTTTAGGGGACATTTGGGGTGCCAGGAGCTGCAGGTGTGCATGGTGACAGCTGCCAGGAGGGGCTCACCTGCACCTGGGCAAGGCCGGGGGTCTCTGTGAGTGCGGGCAGGGGGCTCCGAGGGGATTTTGGGGGTCTCAGATGGGATTTGGGGTGTTTGAGGGGGGATTTGGGGTGCCAGGAGCTCCAGGTTGGTATCGTGACAGTCTGTCGGGACAGGCTCGTCTGTCCCCGGGGATCCCCGTGAGTCTGGGGGGGTCCGGGAGGGAATTTGGGGTGACTTTGGGGGGATTTGGGGGTGTCCAGGATTGGATTCGGGGTGTCCTGGGTGGGATTCGGGATGTCCTGGGTGGGATTTGGGGTGGTTTGAGGGGGATTTGGAGTGTCCAGGAATGGATTTGGGGTGGTTTTGGGGGGATTTGGGGTTTCCGGGAGTGGATTTGGGGTGGTTTTGGGGGGATTTGGGGTTTCCGGGAGTGGATTTGGGGTGGTTTTGGGGGGATTTGGGGTTTCCGGGAGTGGATTTGAGGTGGTTTTGGGGGGATTTGGGGTTTCTGGGAGGGGATTTGGGGTGGTTTTGGGGGATTTGGGGTTTCCGGGAGTGGATTTGGGGTGGTTTTGGGGGATTTGGGGTTTCCGGGAGTGGATTTGGGGTGGTTTTGGGGGGATTTAGAGTGTCCAGGAATGGATTTGAGGTGGTTTTGGGGGGATTTGGGGTTTCCGGGAGTGGATTTGGGGTGGTTTTGGGGGGATTTGGGGTTTCCGGGAGTGGATTTGAGGTGGTTTTGGGGGGATTTGGGGTTTCCGGGAGTGGATTTGGGGTGGTTTTGGGGGGATTTGGGGTTTCCGGGAGTGGATTTGGGGTGGTTTTGGGGGGATTTGGGGTTTCTGGGAGGGGATTTGGGGTGGTTTTGGGGGGATTTGGGGTTTCCGGGAGTGGATTTGGGGTGGTTTTGGGGGGATTTGGGGTTTCCGGGAGGGGATTTGGGGTGGTTTTGGGGGGATTTGGGGTTTCCGGGAGTGGATTTGAGGTGGTTTTGGGGGGATTTGGGGTTTCCGGGAGTGGATTTGGGGTAGTTTTGGGGGGATTTGGGGTTTCCGGGAGGGGATCTGGGGCATCTGGGAGGGGTTTTGGGGTGATTTAGGGCGGATTTGGGGTCCCAGCAGCACCTGGGCCATATCGTGACAGGGTCCCCGTGAGTCTGGGGGCATCCGGGAGGGAATTTGGGGTGACTTTGGGGGGATTTGGGGTGGTTTTGGGGGGATTTTGGGGTCTCAGATGGGATTTGGGGTGTCCTGGGTGGGATTTGGGGTGGTTTTGGGGGGATTTTGGGGTGTCTGGGTTGACTTTTTTGGGGGACAAATCGCGGATTTTGGAGACGGGGGGGGGGAGGGAAAATCCCCCGGGTGTCCCCGCGGTGACGTCACAGGGCGTGGCGTGTGTCCCCTCCCCCTGCGGTGACACCGCTGTCCCCTCCCCCCTGCAGGGCCTGTCCTCGCAGAACGGCGGCTCCCCGAGTGGCACCGTGGTGTAGCTGTGTCACCTGTGTCACCTGTGTCACCTCCCGGGCCACCTGTGTCACCTGTGCCACCCGCCAGGACATGCCGGTGTCACCTGTGTCACCTCCCGGGCCACCTGTGTCACCTGTGCCACCCGCCAGGACATGCCGGTGTCACCTGTGTCACCTCCTGGGTCACCTGTGCCACCCTCCAGGACACACCGGTGTCACCTGTGTCACCCTCCAGGACAGCAGTGTCACCTGCGTCACCTCCTGGGTCACCTGTGCCACCCACCAGGACACTCCAATGTCACCTGTGTCACCCTCTAGGGCACACCGGTGTCACCTGTGTCACCTGTGCCACCCTCCAGGACTTGTCGGTGTCACCGGTGTCACCCGTGTCACTCGTGGGTGTCACCTCAAGGACTCCCGTGTCACCTGTGCCACCCTCCAGGACACGCCGGTGTCACCCGTGTCACCCATGGGTGTCACCCCAGGGTCCCCCGTGTCACCCGCGGTGCCACCCCCGTACTACTGAGCCCCCCCCCGGCGCTGTCCCCGCGCTGTCCCCTTGTCCCCAGGGTGGCACCGCTGTCCCTTTGTCCCCAAGGGTGGCACTGTCCCCTCCCTCCCCCCCCCCCCGCCTTTGTCACTTTATTGTCCCCGCGGGGCCACCGCGTCCCCTCCCCCCCCCCCCCTTATTTATACTAAAGAGACTTTTTGGCACCCGGGTGGCACCGAGGGGACATCGAGGGGACATCGGGGGGTGGCACTTGGGGACAGAATGGGGACACACATGAATTGGGGACAGGCTGGGTGGCACTTGGGGACAGAACGGGGACACGCTGGGTGGCACTTGGGGACAGTTTGGGGACGTGCCAGTGGGACAGGAATGGGTTGGGGACGCTGGGTGGCACTTGGGGACAAGAACAAAGACAGGCTGGGTGGCACTTGGGGACAGAGCAGGGACACACTGGGTGGCACGGGGATGGACTGGGGACACTGGGTGGCACTTGGGGACAGAACGGGGACACGCTGGGTGGCACTTGGGGACAAGAACAAAGACAGGCTGGGTGGCACTTGGGGACACAGCAGGGACGTGCTGGTGGCACAGGGGTGGACTGGGGACACTGGGTGGCACTTGGGGACGGTTTGGGGACACAGAGGTGGCACAGAGGGGACAATCTGAGGACAGGGGGTGGCACAGGGGGACATGGGAGTGACACAGAGGGACAATTTGGAGACATGGGGTGGCAGGAGAGGACACGGGGACGGGGGTGACACAGGGATGGCACTTGGGGACAATTTGGGGACACGGGGCTGACACGGGGACATGAGGACACTTTGGGGATGGGGATGTGACACTTGGGGACAATTTGGGGACGGGGGTGGCACAGGGGGACATTTTGGGGGCTCGGGGACAATTTGGGGACACGTGGGTGACACTTGGGGACAGTTTGGGGACACGGCGATGGCACAAACACAACTTTATTGTCATCCTCCCCCCCCCCGGGGGGCGTCACAAACCGGGGGGGGCAATTTGGGGAGGGGGCGCCCCCGGGGGGGGAGGGGGCGGGGCATAAATAAGGGGAGGGGTCCGCAGTGCAAAGTCCCTACAAATAAATTACTAATGGGGGGGGGCGGGGAGAGACCCCCACCCTTTATTTGGGGGGGGGATCAAGGGGAGACCCCCACCCTTTATTTTGGGGGGGGGGGTCAGGGAGGAGAGACCCCCACCCTTTATTTTAGGGGGGGGGGTCAGGGAGGAGAGACCCCCACCCTTTATTTTGGGGGGGGTCAAGGGGAGACCCCCACCCTTTATTTGGGGGGGGGTCAAGGGGAGACCCCCACCCTTTATTTTAGGGGGGGGTCAAGGGGAGACCCCCACCCTTTATTTTGGGGGGGGGGTCAAGGGGAGACCCCCACCCTTTATTTGGGGGGGGATCAAGGGGAGAGACCCCCACCCTTTATTGTGGGGGGGGGTCAAGGGGAGACCCCCACCCTTTATTTGGGGGGGGGATCAAGGGGAGACCCCCACCCTTTATTTGGGGGGGGGTCAAGGGGAGACCCCCACCCTTTATTGTGGGGGGGGGTCAAGGGGAGAGACCCCCACCCTTTATTTTGGGGGGGGTCAAGGGGAGACCCCCGCCCTTTATTTTGGGGGGGGGATCAAGGGGAGACCCCCACCCTTTATTTGGGGGGGGGATCAAGGGGAGACCCCCACCCTTTATTTGGGGGGGGGGATCAAGGGGAGACCCCCACCCTTTATTTGGGGGGGGGTCAAGGGGAGAGACCCCCACCCTTTATTTAGGGGGGGGACCCCATCAATTTTTGGGGGGGGGGGTCGCATCCCGCTGCCCCTCGGGGAGGGGTCATGGGGGCAGCGGGGAGACCCCTCCCCAAATTACTGGGGTGGGGGGGGGGGGCGTGGAGGGTTTTTTTATTGGGGAGGGGGTCTCGGATTTGGGGACCCCCCCCTCAGTGTCCGGTGGGATATTTGGTGGGGGGGGGTCCCGTGATTTTGGGGGGGGGTCTCGGGGGATTCCGGTGGGATTTTTTTGGGGGGTCCTGTGATTTTGGGGGGGTCCGGTGGGATTTTGGGGAGGGGTCTTGGATTTGGGGACCCCCCCCCAAGTGTCCGGTGCGATTTTTTGGGGGGGGTCCCGTGATTTTGGGGAGGGGGTCTCGGGATTTTGGGGGAGTCCAGTGGATTTGGGGAGGGGGTCTCGGATTTTGGGGGGAGGGGTCCGGTGGATTCTGGGGAGGGGTCTTGGATTTGGGGACCCCCCCCCTCAGTGTCTGGTGCGATTTTGGGGAGGTGGTCTCAGATTTTGGGGAGGGGTCTCGGATTTGGGGACCCCCCCCCCCCCTCAGTGCCCGGTGGTATTTTGGGGAGGGGGTCTCGGATTTTGGGGGGTTCCAGTGGGATTCTGAGGGGGGGTCTTGGATTTGGGGGGTTCCGGTGCGATTTTGGGGAGGGTCCCGTGATTTTGGGGAGGGGTCTCGGATTTGGGGATTCCCCCCCCCCCAAGTGTCCGGTGCGATTTTGGGGAGGGGGTTTCGGATTTTGGGGAGGGGTCTCTGTACAGGGTCACCCCCCCGTGGTAAAGGGGGGCTCAAGTGCAACAAACGGGAGTCGGGGACACCTCGGGGACACCTTGGGGACATTTGGGGACATTTGGGGAATTAGGGGGGGGTCCCGGGGGGCGCGGGCGGGGGGCGCAGGCCGGCGGCGCAGAGCAGCAAACAGTCCTTGGTGGCACCGGGGTGTGGCACCTGGGGACAGCGACACGGGGCCATTGTCACCATCGCTGTCACTCCATCATTGTCACCGTCACCGTCATTGTCACCGTCGTTGTCACCACCCCCCCCACGCCGTGCCACCCTCCGGGTGGTGCCACCTCCCTACCCCCCCCCCCCCCGCGGTGTTGGGGACATGGGGACACGGGGGTGGCACTGTCCCCCAGGGGTGGCACTGTCCCCAAGGGATGGCACTGTCCCCAAGGGGTGGCATTGTCCCCCAAGGGTGGCATTGTCCCCAAGGGGTGGCGCTGTCCCCCAGTGGTGGCACTGTCCCCAAGGGTGGCATTGTCCCCAAGGGGTGGCGCTGTCCCTAGGGTGGCGTTGGTGGCAGTGCCAGCGCTGGTGGCAGTGTCCAGGTCGTGCTTGTCACCTCCCCGGGGTTGGTGGCCTTGGGGACACGGCCGAGGTGGCTCTGGGGACAAGGCAGGGCTGGGGGTGGCAGTGGCAAGGGTGGCCTTGGGGACATGGCGGGGGTGGCAGTGACAGGAATGGCGGTGACACGAGTGGCAGCGGCAGGAGGTGACAACGGCAGGGGTGGCCTTGGGGACATGGCCAGGGTGGCAGGGACGGGTGGCAGTGGCAGGGCGTGGCCGAGGGGGTGGCAGGAAGTGACAAAGGGTGGCAGGGGTGGCGGTAACACAAGTGGCAGTGGCAGGAGGTGACAGGTGGTGGCAGTGGCGGGGCATGGCAGGGGTGACAAGAGTGGCAGCGGCAGCGGTGGCAGTGAGGGGGGTGGCAGTGGCAGGGGGTGACAGGGGTGACAAGAATGGCAGTGGCAGGGGGTGACAGCAGCAGGGGTGGTGACAGGGGGTGACAAGGGTGGCAGTGGCAGGGGGTGACAGGGGTGACAGCAGCAGGAGTAGCAGTGGCAGGGCATGGCCGGGTTGGTGACAGGGGGTGACAAGGGTGGCAGTGGCAGGGCGTGGCAGGAGGGACAGTGATGGGGTGGCGGTGGCGGTGGCAGTTGCAGGAGGTGACAGGTGGTGGCAGTGGCAGGGGGTGGCAAGGGTGACAGTGGCAGAGGTGGCAGTGGCAAGGCGTGGCCAGGGAGGTGGCAGGGGTGACAGGGATGGCCTTGGGGACATGGCCAGGGTGGCAGTGGCAGGAGGTGACAGTGGCAAAGGTGGCAGTGGCAGGACATGGCTCAGGGGGTGGCAGGGGATGGCAGTGGGTGACACAGGTGACAATGGCAGTGCCAGGGGATGGCAGGGGGTGGCACAGGTGACAATGGGTGACACAGGTGACAGTGACACAGCCCCACACATACCCGGGCCCAGAGCAGCAGGTGCCGGGACAGGGGGTGACGATGGGTGACAATGGGTGACAGTGGCAGTGCCAGGGGATGGCAGGGGGTGGCAGGGGGTGACAATGGGTGACAGTGGGTGACAGTGGCAGTGCCAGGGGATGGCAGGGGGTGGCACAGGTGACAATGGGTGACACAGGTGACAGTGACAGCCCCACATACCCGGGCCCAGAGCAGCAGGTGCCGGGACAGGGGGTGACAATGGGTGACAGTGGGTGACAATGGCAGTGCCAGGGGATGGCAGGGATGGCAGGGGGTGACAATGGGTGACAATGGGTGACAATGGCAGTGCCAGGGGATGGCAGGGGGTGACACAGGTGACAATGGGTGACACAGGTGACAGTGACACAGCCCCACATACCCGGGCCCAGAGCAGCAGGTGCCGGGACAGGGGGTGACAATGGGTGACAATGGGTGACAATGGCAGTGCCAGGGGATGGCAGGGGGTGGCACAGGTGACAATGGGTGACACAG